TTTGCATTGACCTGAGATCGTCTAGTTCCTTTTGATTGAGGGAATTGACTTGAATAAATTTTGAATTGTTAGTCGAAGTACTTTCGGATATGCCGCCAAACTCATCATCACAGTTAGAAAAACTCTAAAATTCAGAATAGAAAAATACCAAGCACAACGTCGAGTACATGCAAATTTAGAAGGCACTGCTTTGGTGGTTAATTTTTTTCTTTTGCCGCAATTGCTTATGTGGTATTCTTCAAAATGCCTTTGGTATATAACGCTCCTGTCTTTTAAACTCGATGTATCTAAAAATTTAGATTAAAACTACCCATTTGAATATAATTCATGTAATCTGATATCTTACAAAAAGTTTATTAAGTATTAAGTAGTCAGCTATTATACACATAAATCATCGCAGGGTTATACCATATACACGATATTTTAAAAAGTAATCTAAAATTCTCCGCAATCTGTCCAATAGTTTTGGAAAATACGTGTCTAATAAAATTGCCAACAAATGATAGATAGATGGAAATGGTAGACATACTTTTTCTATTCTAGGCTAATGAATAAAAAACAGTTTGTTTTAATTGTTTTAAAATATGACGTTTTTTTTTGTTTTCATTATTATTTTACTTCCCGAGCGTAAGCGAAGGAAGTATTGTAATCGAGACCGTCAACCGACTCTCCACTTATACGTTTTCTCGACCTTTCATGATCCCTACAGTACGAGAAAAGTAGTCTCCCGTTTCCGTCTGTCTGTCTGTTTGGTGTGTATCCATTTTTTATTAGACACGTAATCTCCAAAACTGCTTGTCAAATTTTGTATGTAAGTATATGTATTAGGAATATCATGTAGATGGTTAAATAGTACGCAAAATTCGACTAATCACCCCCACTAACAATTTGATAACGTCACTTCAAAACTGTACATAGTAAATGGGTTTTAAATTGTATAAAATAATATATTCCTATAGTTGTTCATGATTCCGTGTTGAGTTTTTAACCGAAATGTCCAGATTTTTGTGGGAGAAAAAATCAAAATTATATAACAACATTTTTCAATTTAATTTTGAATCTACGAAACCGAATGCTTTGAAGTCTTACAGATGTTTTTAAGTTATGATAATCATGCTATATTTTTAATCAAAATATATTTACTTATCCCCTCCAAAAAATTGATGACGTCAGTTGTAATTTATCACTGCATTCGTATTTTTTAGATTTGCTTATACAGGTTGACTCAAAAAAATTAATGAATCAGTCAATTTATTATTTATCAAATTAAGAACGAGCCACCCGATTTTCTCAAAAATATAAGAATATGCTCGTCTTTATAACAACAAAATAATGATAAGGTAAGAATTATAATAATAACGTTCAGAATATTTTGTTCAATTAAGGCTTATTAATAATTTTAGTCATCTGCTTTGAGGCGATACACTCATTCAAATGAAACAAATATCTACGTGACATTTTTCCAGTGTTTAACCATAAACATTTTAAACACTACGCATATTGCTTAGATACCACTATTCCCGTTGATAATGTGCTGTATATATATATTTTATTTCATACTGTGTTAAATTTGACGTTTCACTGGATTTGAACGAGTCCGGTAAAATCAAAATAACGAACCGGTAAAATTGAGGCAAAAAGGGCAAGTCCTGTAAAGTGTTACTATGTTTTTAAACATTAATATCATATTATTATTAAAACATTTGCCAAATAGCGGATGCTAACGATGTCAGAAAAAGTCACTCGATTTGAACTATTTCTCAAAATAGTAATTATTTCATCGAATAAAAAAATATGTTCACAGTATGAAATAAAATCCATAACGACATACGTCCGGTAACTCTTTTCACAGTACTCGTTTCGACATTCAAGACTCGGCTACCTACGGTCGCCTCGTCCTAAAACTTCTCACTCGTACTATAAAATTTGAGTTACCGGACTATATACCGATAACGTTAATTACTATTACAATGCAGAGACGGTTTATACCCTATGCTTGTGATGCTGGACCATCAGGCCCCCGAAGTTTAGGGACCTCTTCTGCCCTAAATGTAACAGAAAATAAAATTAATTTGTTTTTATTTCGGTTAATACAAAAATACGATTTCGTCTTCGACTGACCGTTTGTTGACAGATATAATCTCGAAAATGGCTACTTCCGGGCGTTTCAATAATTTATGACTTGCAGCCAGGCAGCCACCTGCCGCCTGAGTTTTGTTTGCAGTATCGTTTCTCATTCCTATTTTGCTTTTTTTATAATTTAATAAATTATACCGCACACTTTTGAAATTACTACATTTGCATTCATATTTTTTCGATTTGCTTACACAGGGTGGTGCAAAAACAATAATTAATGACTCAATTTATTTTATGGATTAAATCAAGAACAGCAAAACCGAATGCCTTGAAATCTTGGAGACGTTTTGAAGTTATTGATGACGTCATGTCACAATTTTGCCGAATATCTAAATTGTGCAAAATATGATGAGTCTATACTTGTGATTTATCAATACATTAATATTTTTTAAATTTGCATGAATAGATTAATTTATTTTATTGATTAAATCAAGAACAGCTCACTCCATTTAGGATTACACATTTACATATGCTTATTTCAAATTATAGGGGTTCCTATAAAAATATAAAATTCGCAAAATCAATTTTTATAATTTCTGGAAAATGCTGGATATGTTTCATTGAACTTCAGGGGTGTCGAAACAACTTTCGATCAATTTTTAATTACCTTTTTGATGTTTGATGTGACTAATATCACTGATATTAGTTTTTGTCTGAAAGAGCAGAAATTTTGAAATTTTAGAACAGTACACAATTTAATCAAATAACTTTATTGTTTAGAAATTTCTTTAACGACTGATGTTACCAATTCCATGCTGATAATAGCAGCACAAAATATAAATGTAAAAGCGTACCATAAAACATATCATCAACAAAATTATTTGTTCCAATCTGTATTCAAAATTTTGAGGTTAATCTGTGTGGATAAAACTCAATAATTTATTTCTCAGTAACTCAAATTTATAACGTGATTATGTAGAAAATAATTTCGACGCGACTGACTGAATTTTCTGGTTGACTGAATTAAAAACTGACTGCTTCCGACGATGGTCTGTCTCTATTTAAACCCATACGTTCTTTTTCTCGATAGTTCACCGTTATCGCTTTGAGCTCATTCTGGAGCCCTCCGCCGAGACTTCCGCAGAACCGCTTCTTTAGTCAAATGCTGTCCGGCCGCCGCCACCACCAATGATGAGTCACCCATTATCGCGATATATACTAGAAAGTCCTCGAGAATACCCATAGGCGTCGTACGGGGGCAGCATATGGGTTTATTTCGAAACATTATGATGTTACACGTCGAAATGTTCGTTGTCGTCCAAGTAGTCCAAATTTAAACCCAAAGATGGTGCTAGCGCAAATTTTAATTTTTTTTAGATTTTTTAAGAAATCTCTATTAAATAACAAATGTGTACTTGTTAATTAACGGAAAAGTATATTTTAACTGCTTATTTAATGAAAACTGTCGTTTATAATAACAAAAAAAAAAAAATAAAAAATAAAAAAATAAACAAAATTTAAAAAAAACACGAACCATTTTTTTAAGAAATGGTTTTTTAATAACTGTATTCTAGGAGCTGTGACACGCCGAGAAAACATCCTGTTATATAGCTCACTCGGGAAGTAAGAAAAATATATAAAATATAGAGCAAAAGTATAAATCAAGTCAAATAACTTGAAAGCTATTTAGTAGTATTTAGTACTCAATATTTGAAATTTTGCAGAGGCTGTAGAGTCTAACATCTACCATACGTATTTTTTATTTTTTTTTATTCTTGGTTTCGGAAACTGATCGTCAATGAATTGTTTTTATTAAATTTCAGCGTAAATTAACATCATTAAAAACGTTTTTTTTCCTGAATTCAATGATGTCGTTTGTACAAATAAACACTCAGAAATAGTTTTTTAGTTTTTATTGTCAGAAAGCCAAGAAAACTTACCAAACAAAACCCCACTTGCAAATATAACGTCAAAGCTAGCTTTATCAAATAGAAATATGTAGACCCGGTTTGTGGAAAGCGAATTAAAAGTTAATCGCGATTAAATTTTAATTGGGGTCCGTTGCTATGTAACGTGCATGTTTTAACCAATCACGGACACATATTCTACATTTTAGTCCTCTGTTAAATTAATCGAGGATAATATTTAATTCACTTGACGCTTTCACGTGTCTTGATTATCAACTAACGGCTTAATTTAAGATTATTGATTGGTGTTGCAATGTGGCGTCATTGCACGATCGACTTGAAATTAAGATCTAAACTAATAAATTTGTTGTCTATAATACCGAGAGATCGAAAAAGAAATTAGTCAAAGTTGGCCATGTACGAAATGCCGTTTGTCTTAGTTTAAAATATTTTTTTATTAAACGTCACGTTGACAAAAGTAATTTGCAATGTTACCAAATGAAGTTAGAACTTTTTTGTTAGAATCTTACTTCAGAAATGGGATAAAATTGGAAAACGGTGATTTTGATTCATTTTATGCGTTTTAAAAGTAGGTGTCATATTTCTAATTTTAAACTGTCAATTTGGCATTTAATTAAAAATTTTAATTACGACAAATGGCTTGTCGTGCATGACCAACTTTGCTTATTTCTTTTTCGATCTCGCGGTACAAAAGACGGTCAGTTGTTTTAATTATGCAAAATAAACCTTGAAATCAAGCAATCAACACTAAAACAAAGAACAATTTTTATTTTACAACACGTGTTCAAAGAGTTAAGTTCAACATTGCGGCAATAATGAATGAAAGAGAGAGGAAATTTTCTAAAAACCTCTAATTTTTGGACGCAGTTAACGTTTATAGTCATTTTATAAATTCTAAAATAAAAACTGATGAATTAAAAAATGCCCTTACATGCACTGAGTGTTAGACATGTTCCGACGGCAACTTTTTGCGTTAAAAAAAACATTATCACTCACCTCAAAATCTACATATTGTTCCTCCGTGAGCAATTTCCTCGCTACAACCAACGTTCTTAAACCATCTCTTGCCATATTACCCACTTCTTCGTCTAGCCAATCCGTGTACTGAACAATGGGAGACATAACGACATCAGCACCTTTTAAGTAAAATACAATCTCCCCTGTTTGTAGATCCTATCCGAACAAAAAACCAATAAAAATCTGTATAGAATATTTCAAACCGCCACCATACCTTCATTATGACGCCCATTCTTTTAGTTTCGCTGGTGAACGGAAAAATCTGCAAAATGTTGTAATTGTACAAGCGCCCATCTGGACCACGAAGCTGCATTGAAGAGAGATCTCGTCGACTGAGAGCCAGACCGACTTCGTGGGTCCACTGAACGAGAGCTACTTCATCTGGACTGGAAGCTTGATAGGAAACCACCTGTTTATCAGCTTGCAAGTGTTGATCAGCCTCTGCTTCAGACGCAATAGAACCTGAATCTAAAATAACGAATTAAACAACAATAAGATCAATTTTTCGTACTACTACCAACCTGTTTCGCTATTTTCGTTGCTTTCGTAAACTGGAGTTACATTGTGACATAAAGCTAACGCCTGGACAGCATCTCTAATTCTCGTATTCTCAGATCTGCGAAATTTAGTCTTGTTTGAGGTAGAGGTGTCGCTGCCTAAGTATGTTGACTTAAGTGTAGAACTCAACTCTTCGAAACTATCCGCTGCGTAGCTAACAGTTCCAAGATGGAGACGTTTAAGCACCATTGAATTTTGTGTAAGAGTACCAGTTTTATCAGATAAGAGATACGATATCCTCCCTAGTTCTTCGGGTATTGTTGTGCATCGTACAGCTGTTCCAGTCATGTTCGGATCTTTACCGATCGCCCACGAGTAGAAAGATTTGCCCAATTCCAAATTAACTCTCAAACTACAAAAACATTATACCGTTGGTAACAAAACTCTTGCGATCAGCTCTAGAATTACCTGATGGGAATGATATACGAAAATAGTAAAATAAATCTGAACAAGTAGCGATACCAAGGTCCGCCGAAGCCTTTTAAAGCCATCATTATTAAAGCGAGCGCCATTACGGCTACGAATAGCAGTTTGGTTATGGTGTTAACTTCAATATCGAGAAGACCAACTTTGGAACGAGGTGCTGAATTGTTCATTACAGATCTGGTTTCAGGGCCTGAAATTTTTGTTCAAGTCTAATTTGTTCAAAAATTAGGGATTATTAAAATACCTGTGTAAATAACTACTCCTAAAGCTTGACCTGAAGCAATTACGCAGTTGGTCCATAAGGTGTTTTCCAAGTCTAAGCTTTCGTCGGAGTTCAATGAATCTAACTATTGCGTAAAAAAACAAAAAATATATTAGTAATATTATTTCTAAATTTATTTAATTATACGTATAACCAATTAAGGAAATGTAACATTTCATTACTTTAAAACCAAAAACAGACATCATAAATAATATGTGTAATAGTGTAGAAACTACTCATGGAATAAATTCGGTAATTTCAAAACTAATATTTGTCCAAAATACTGAAACAGGTCAATTTGTATTTCTAAATATGCTATTTTTAAGTTGGTACCTATTTGTGATGTTATTCCCCTTCGAGCTATGGCGTTATATGATTTTTTATGTTGTTATTTCTAAATAGTACCTCTAAAGGTCTTTTCACGGAACCTGCACTTGTTACCACTATTTTTTAAATTTTTTGAGATTATTAAATTTTTACGCTCCAATCAAATGGTTTACAAATTTCACAGGTATTTAAAAAAAAAGTATGAGATTATAAAAAAAAGTGGATAACTTCATCAATAATACATATAATCAATAATTTTCGACAAATACTACAGGTTTTGCTGAATTTATTCCGTAAGTAGTTTCCACACTGTAGAAGTGTGTATACAGGGTTATTCAGCTAAGATTACTCACTTGAATCTTTTAATGCGGTAACCCAAACTACCGATTGCAGTTACTGCTGGATTTTTAATTAATTTGAATCCAAGTTTGCTTTTAAATAAATTTCAAAGATATTTGCAACTGTTGCAAATTTGTCAAATGAGTAATAGGTTATTAAATTTGAAAGAAAATTCTAGTAAAATCAAACTGAATTAATTAAACCAAGATTTACAAAAACTCGGAACAAATACTCAATGTGACCTCCGTTTCTTCTAAGTCTTGCAAAAATATTTCCGAATCAAAAATTATCTGCAAGCTGAAGTTCAAGCATATCGTTAAAAGTTACTTGATAAACCTTTTCTTTAACAGTTCTCCATAAGAGTAGTCCGGTGGTGTGAAATCTGGACTTCGAGCAAGCCAAGAATGAGTAGAACCTCACTTTATCCAATTACCATTAAATTATTTACTCAGGTATCTTCTGACGATATGATAATGAATAGGCGCACCACCATGTTGTAATAAAAAATCTCTCCACAGAGAAACTGGCAAATTTCCAATTATTGTAAAAATGCATCGGCACAGTTTCACGTTGACTTGTTTACCCTAATAACAGTCGGATCCAAATTAACTTTAAAATATTTATTGAAATCCAGAAACAACTACTGCAATCGGGATTTTGGGTTCTGGCTCTCGTAAGCTCATGTGGGTCGTCTTAGCTGAATAACCCTGTATATGTATCGGGTGTCTAAATAAAAACCTGGTCAAGAGTTATGTCACCAGATTTTGTTTTTTTTTTGCGTATGTCGTTTCCGAAATGAATTTTGAAAACTGTGACCCACTTGTCACATTGACTGTTGTGAACTAAATAACCTTTAAACTGAGTTTGACATGGAACTGACAACTGTCTCGAATACGATGACAAACACTACGACATACGGAAAAAACAATAAAATAGAAGGCACCCCTCTTGACCAGATTTTTAAATAGACACGCATTATACCGGGTGTCTGGAAAATGGCGGATTAACTCTTCAGTACGTTATGTACGGGGGTTTCGGGAATCCCAAAAAAATAATTAAAAAATCCTTCGATGTAGATTACGAAAAAAAAACGTAATTTTTTAAAAGTAAAATTGGCAACACTGCACGCACCTAATGCTGAATACCTCCAGGGTACTTTCCGATTTCTTAGTAACGATGGTGACTGAAATCCACCTTTTACTTTTTTTTTAGTATATTGATAATAACCATAACAACCAGCCGTCATTAAGCATTGTCCATTAATTATTATTATTAATCAAACAACTGTTATTCTTCGTCTTTAATTTTTTTTTAGTAGCTCTTAAAATAAGACTGATTTTGGCAAATGACATACTCTCTAAGAAAAGAGAGGGTGGGTGGGCGGGGCTAGTACCTGCTAAAATAAGACCGATTTTGGCAAATGACATATCCTTTAAGAAAAGAGAAGGTGGCTGGGCGGGGTTAGTACTTACTAAGATAAGATTGATTTTGGCAAATAAATTACCCTCTAAGAAAAGTGAGGGTGGATGGGCGGGGCTACTAAAATAAGACCGATTTTGGGAAATGACAAACCCTCTAAGAAAAGAGAGGGTGGGTGGGTGGGCGGGGCTAGTACTTGCTTGGATAAGACTGATTTTGGTAAATGAAATATCCTCCAAGAAAAGAAAGGGCGGGTGGGCGGGGTTAGTACCTGCTAAAATAAGACCGATTTTGGCAAATGACATACCCTCTAAGAAAAGAGAGGGCGGGTGGGTGGGGCTAGTACCTGCTAAAATAAGACCGATTTTGGCAAATGACATACCCTCTAAGAAAAGAGAGGGCGGGTGGGTGGGGCTAGTACCTGCTAAAGAAGACTGCTTGCTTTTGGCAAATGACATTAATCCGCCATTTTCCAGACACCCGGTATTAGGTTTCATTTTAATTAATCAGACTCAGAGGAGAGAATCAACATTTTTTTATGGGCTAAAAAATAAGAAATCAAACTTGTCGACTTATAGAATTTCCATGTACGCTAGTAAGAAAATACTCCCTCTGTCCAAAATTTAGTGTCCGCTTCCTCAAAAATAGTTTGTTTTTTTTAAATAAAGGAAACATATTTTTTATTGAAGAATTATTATTATTACAATAAATATAGCATCTTATAATAATAAGCTTTGATATAAAATTGAACTTTTCAGTTAATTAATTAATACCGTTGCGAGAAAAAAATTCTGGTCGTCAGTGTCTGTCTGTTCTTGAAATACAGTCCAACAAATTCCGCTTCTTTGAAAAACTATAAAAAAATTATGTTTTCTGATAATCTTTATACCACGTGTCCCACGTAACACTTTCGGGGACAATAACAGGTATTTTTGAAAGGATTTTTATGAAATTTAACACAGGTGTAATATAACAGGTAAAGATTAAGCTGGTCAAAAAAACTATTTTATCGTACAAAAAACGAATTTTAACACAGCTTCCCGTTGTTAAAAATTATGCAAAATTACGTTATACTTAAATAAATACTTTATTCCCAACAGGCTAATATACACCCAATTACAGGGAACGATGTAATTAAAACTGAAACATTACTTATACGTTATAACTAAAAAAAATAATTAAACTAAATAATCACTTAATTAATACCATAAACTTCCAATATAGAATTTTGCAATATTTTAAAAGAATTAATATTTATGTCACAAACTCCCGCTATCCCATTACATAAGTCACACATTAAATTAACTGGAGATTTGCGTAAAACATTGGTTCTATTCGCTGAACAATAAAATATAGTACTCTGTCGGGAGTTGATTCTTGGTACTTTAAAATTGAGTTTATTAAGCAACTGGGGTACATCAACTTTATTATTCAGCATATTGAATAAAATCTTGACGACAGTAACAATTCTTCTAGTTTTTAATGATACAAAATTAAATCTAGTCAACGAATTTAAATGACTAAATCCTCTTATAACGTTATAACTTTAAGTATCTAAAATAACGCTTGTATGCGAAAAAAAAAATATATATATATCACTGTTTTTGTTTAAAAGAATTACCCACGTTAATGAAAACGCAAAAATTAATTAATTTCATTTTTTTTATTAATTTAATAGTGCTGCCGGCGCAAAACAATTGCCTGCGTTCAGAGTTCAGTTTTGTACACCCCTGACATTTTTGTCAAAATCTGACAAGTTATTGAAAATGGTTCCAGATTCAAAGTACAGAGAATAATAAACTTATTTAAAGATATGGGAAGTGTACAAGACCTAAAACGAGTGAAAAAACAAAACCTATTACTGGAAATAATGAAATTGTGGACGCCGTTGTTAACGCTGTAGAAGAAAATCCAATAAATGGTAGCATATGGAAGTTTAACAAATTTTAGTAATGCAAGTATCTAAAAAATCCATAGATAGAATTTTAAAAGAAAAAAAGTACCATCCTTACAAGCTTTCAATACATCAAGAGCTAAGTAAAGACGATATGATAAATCGTCTTAATTTTAGTCACTTTATGCTGCATGTAATGGATGATGACGCGAATTTTGCCCAAAGGATTCTATTTTCGAATGAAGTCACATTTAGAAATATGTAGTAGCATGGTAAATAGACACAATATGCATTATTGGACAATTGACAATCCACACTGGTTACGGCACATCGACAACCAGCGTGTTTGGTCTCTTAATGTATGGGGTGCAGTGATTGGTGAGCGTGTATAAGGAATTCACGTTCGGTAGATGTAACTAGATTTGGTAACTTTTTTTTTTAAGCTGTGTAACTGCGGACATAATTGTTCTAGTGTATAATGTATTACTGGAATGTCAGAAAGTAGGTATCAAAAATGTGACATGTAAGTAAGTAAAGGTCAAATATCGAAAATTTGATGGTTTTGTGGTAATCTGGTGAATCTATTTTTGAACCAAGGAGAAAATCGCATCCCTCTAAAAGCCCAAAGAGCAACCCGCATGTAAAATTTTGAATATTTTCCCTTCACTAGTTTTTTTAGGAGGACAAGCTTTGATGTCATCATCATGGATCCACAATTTCACCATGGATCCGTTCTGGTATATCCATGTCTCATCCAAGAAAATGAAAAGTAAATCTTCACCACAATCACGCAATTGGAGATAGGTACCGCCTTAGAAATTTGATTCTGGCAGCTATAACGTGTTTAAAATGTGAAAAACTTCGCCTTCGGAAACCTAAATTTATACGTGTATTACGTACAATTATTTTCAAAGCCGAGTGTTTTACCTCATACAAAACAATAACGATTATATAAAACTTAAAAACCAACTGTAGAACGGAACCAACAAAGCATGTAGGTATATAAATCTGCGCAGTCGTCTTTCTGATTCTGATTATAATATTAACGGCACAAGCGCCGCTGTATCTGTATTATTTTAAAATTCGAAAAACACTCGACAACACTA